GTTTGGGTCACACTCCTATCTGAACTCAAGACTTAACCTCGCACACCACTCCAGCACTTCACCCCCGGAACACCGAACTGAACAAGCCATACCTGGCACCGAAGGAGTTCGTATCCAGGGGCGGTGCGCACCTGACTAACTTGGGATCTGACGCTTGACAGCCGCATTCCAATGGCCACCTGCCACCGCCATCTCCAGTTACAGAGACGGCTCCGACAAGGAGCAGTGGTGGTTCTGTCCCAGCAGAGGTGATGACACCCGAACTGGCAGAAGCATAGAAGTAATCATACCCGACCTGACAGAGGCCTCGAAGTGAGTGCGCGAGGTGATTATAAAAAGGCTCTCTACCCCCCGAAGAAGGTATGTGAACTTTGAGCCATCTAGTTTTATCTTGCCTTTGAGAGAATACTAACTTGAGCTTTGGAGTGATCTCGTCGGGTTCCTCCCCGGAGATTCCCCACCTTCTTCGTTTCAGGCCCCCCTGTTGCTCCAATCAGAGGCAAGATCGTTGACAGCTAGGATCAGCCGGATTATGCACCATCAATTAGGTTTGGGTTAGGTTCATATGGTTCAATTCGTTCACCTTTTTTTTATTTTTTATTTTTGTTTCTTAGTTTTAGTATTAGTAAATTAAGCTCGATTCGCTCCCACATTCTAGTTTGTGTGAAATCATGGTTAAGTTGCTTTAGGAGTATCAAACTTGTGTTATATAAGAAAATGTTTTCCAACTTAAAATTTTTTAAACATGCATATAGAGAGTGGGGCAAATGATTACTTTTTATACATAGACACAAGGTCACTTAGATACATATGCACACATATATAAATACATAAGACGTTTTATATGATATTTGCACAAGGCCTTAAATGTGATCCAATCCATAGTTGAGTGACTTGAGTCCATATTTCTTACGGAAAAGTATGGATAGACTTAATGCAGATTTCTGATTTTTACTGCAGAGTTATAGACATTTAAAATGTCAACAACCCACATTATACATTAGCGCCCGCCTGTAAATTGGCATTAATTCTAAGTTGACACTTACCCCAACAGTAGAGGTGTAAAGTGGGTCGTGTCGCCCTACAGGTGAAAATTATGGGGGTCGGCTTGGCACGGCCCAGGCTAACATAGGCCCTTGTGCCAAGCCTTGGCCCAAGTCGGGCCATGGATCAGGCCAAATCTATTTTTGCCTATTTATTTAAAAAAATTAAGAAAACTTAAAATTTTAAATTTATATGAATTTTGATGTATACAATTGCTTATATATACAATAATTAAATAAATTAGTATAATAAAATTGAAAAAAAAATTGTTTGTTTTATTAATATATTATATACTATATATTATTATATAATTATAATATATATAATATATTATATATATATACATAAATATATATACATATATATATATAAAATATATATATATATAAATAGTATATATGGGTCGTGACGGCACATGGGCTAGGCTGAGCCGACACGCGGGCCGTGGGCAACACGACTCGCTTGATCATGCCATGCCGTGCCGGCCCGTGGACTTCAAACCCCAAGCCCAACACGGCATGGACCATCGTGTCAAACCTAGCATGACATGTGGGCTGTCGTGTCGGGCTAGGCCGGGCCGGTCCAAAGTCGAGTTGGGCTGTTGGCGACCCGGCCCGATTTACACCTCTACCCAACAATACTTTGAGCCTACAAATTCTGACCCTGGGCTGAACTATCATTCTCCCTATTTTTAACCCTAATCAGAGTTCAAATTATCACAACACATCATTGCGTATACATACCAGGTTTTGAACCCACCAAAATGCCAGCCAAATACCTGAAGTTAGGACAAAATGTTGTTTTCAAATGCTAATGCCTTTCTTGGAGATGGCCCATTGAAATCTTGAAATTTTTCCGAACCATGAAGGCATGAATACCAACCCTTTAAATTGTCATGGTTTTCAAAACCGGACCAGACTGGAAAAACCAGGGACCAATCACTTGACCGGTTCCATTTTTTCCCAAAACTGGGAACTGTCACCTAACCGGTTTTGTTTTTCCCCAAAACCATTGATTTTGGTTAGCAAACTGTTGAATTGGCCAGTTAACCGTTCGAATGGTTTTGACCATTTTTCAAATTTTTTAATTTTTTTAATTTTTTTATTTTTTTGTCAAAACCGACCGACCGTTCAAACCAGTAACAGACCCCTGACCGGTTCGGTTTTAAAAACCATGTAAATTGTGTAATATGCAATTTGTATTATCAATACTTTGAACCATGACCCTAACCCGAACTTTGACCCAACTTTTCCGAGTAGGGTTTAGGCTAAGCCAGCCTGAAGTAGGACACTGTCCTCTCATACAAGTGAAACTGACCATGGTCTTCAAAATCAAACCGGACCGGACAGTTGGACCGAAAAAACTAGTAACCGGTTAGTCCCTCGGGTCCGGTTATATTATAAACCGGTAAGTCATTAAAACAGTTGAAAAAGTCAAAAAACCGTTGACCCGAGCGGTCGAACCACTAAATCGTTTGACCTGGGTAGCGATTCGTGGGTTATCACTTTTTATTTACTCTAATTTAAATAAAATAAAAAAAAAAAAACAAAAAATAAAATGACCCTTCCCTCCTCTTACGAACCTTATGAATGTTTAGGGTTAGAACCCCATTTTCATTCCAAGTTTCTAACCCTTCCCTCCTCTCAGCCCTCACACCCCACCTATGACGGCCACGACCTACGGTGTCGGACAGTGATACACAGCGATTGGTGGTGATTCATGGTGACTAGAGATGGCAATGAACTTCATCTACGGCGGCCAGTGTTGATTTTACAGCAGGTCCAGCAGTAATAGATTCGGCAACCGACTTGCAGCGGCGGCCGACAATTTTGCAGCAGGTCGAGCAGTAATAGTTGCAGCAGTTGTATTTCATCATCATGATTTGTGAAATCTCTTTCCATCCTTGATCATCCATGTTGAAATCCCTAATATCTATCTTGTTTTCACCCATTGTGCATTTGTGCCCCACCCTAACTGTGATTGAGTTGATCAAAACCTCCTGCACCTTCTCTTTGTTCTAGTGCTGATTTCTAAAACCTGTTTCTGAAGTTCAGGCCGAAGAACTGAACTAATATCTAATTACCTATATATTGTTACCAGATCACATATTCTTAATTTGTTTCAAAATGTAGTACAAAAAGCAAGAAATTAAGAATCACATGGAGTGTATTTGCAGAAGTGTTAAGCTTAGCAGTTCAATCATGTTTACATTGTTATACTGTTCCAATTTTTTTACCTGATTTGTTTCCTTGTAGCTGGATGCAGAATTTTGTGGATACTGGTTATACAATTGGTGCATTTATGACGTTGTTCGCTATGTTCGCTTTCTCTTTTACATCTGCCACAAGATGATGGAAAAATTGAATAAGCGATTCTTGTGGCATCTTGTAGTTCGTGGTGCACTGTATGTATTGTAGATGTTTCTGCATTAATGATAATGAGTATGCAGATTGGCCACCTCCCCCCCATATTTCAGGTCTTCATGATTCTGAATATGGTAGTTTACTGCTGTGTAACATTCTATGCTCCAATATCAATAATTTTTCTTTTTATGTTATGTCCTATAACAGAGATATTAGTCTAAAAGCTGGGAAGTATGCAATATTTGGGTCCGATTGGTTAACAGTTGGAATCAGAATCGGAATGGTTTAGTCCCTAGTTCACATATAGTTTAGTCTGTATTTTTTTCTATTTATTTGCAACTTTCTTTTTTTCTGTATTTTTTTTTTGTTTTTTTTAGAATTTTGTGTATTTTATTCTTATATTTTCTCTGTGTTTTGTACTGTATTATTTTTATATTTAGATAATTTTATTTTCTGTATTTATTTGTATTTTTTCTGTATTTTATTTAATTTTATGTTATTTTTTATTATTTATAAATATATATTTTATTTTTAATTTATTTATGATGTCACGGGTCAAACTGTTCGACCCGGACAGTTGAACCGCTTAACCGGAAACCGATCCCCTGACCGGTTCTGTTTCCGGTTCGTTTTTAGAAACCTTGAAACCGACTAAGCATATGTCCAAAGCTTTTATGTAACAAAAACTACCAAATGAAATACACATGTCAAACAAGTAGATTCATGAGAAAAGAGAAAAAATCCAATGTGAAGAACCTGGACAAGATATACGTTAACTAGCGTTATCCGCCTCACAAAGCGGCCACCGGAACACACGTGGCACTAATCTGTTGATATAACCACAAATGGTAAACCACGCGTCCGATACAAAGCCGACATAACCCCATGGGAATCTTCGTCTTATTTTGCAACTCGCCTAATCCTGAACCACTCCATGGTTAGTACCGACAGGTGCTTGCCACCAAGCATTATTGACTAGAGAGTGGGTGGGGACTGCTATTGCCACACGGAATGATTCCGCATCTTCGTCAGCAAATGGATCCAAGATCCAAACTTAAGTGGCTGACCCACATGCTTCAATCCCCTTCATAACTTCATTCCCCCCCAGCGCAATATATAAATTCTTATTATCACCTCACCACCTCACCACTACAATCTCTGGATCAAGAAAGACTTGGATATATTGGATTTTCTATCTCTAACCATGTTAGAAGGCAAAGCAGTGATTAGCGATACAGACATGCTGCAAACCATGCAGCAGGATGCAATTAGACTTGCTGCAAAGGCTCTCGACATCTTCGACGTCATCGATACCACTGAGATAGCCTGCTGCGTCAAAAAGGTATGATGATGTAAACAGAATAAAATACGTTCATTGTAATTGTTGAATGATGTGTGCCTACTGCCTGGTGCAGGAATTTGACCGGTTATATGGATTCGGTTGGCAATGCATCGTGGGAACAGATTTTGGTTCGTTCGTCACCCATTTCCACGGCTGCTTCATCTACTTCTGTATTGGCAGCCTTGCGTTCTTGCTCTTTAAAGGTGCAGCGGGTCCAGAGTTGGAGGCCAGTCGATTTGCATCACTGGACGCAGTGAAGGCGTGAGAACCTGCAGACTGCAGTTTCTCTCCTCTTTTTCTTTTATTTTCTTCTTCATGGGGGTTTGCCTTTGCCATGTAAATAATAAAGAAGATCGCATCCTTACTTCCTCAATACAACACCGTTTTCAGGCACGAACTCGGAACTTCCCCCTCTTCTTCTTCTTCTTCTTCTTCTTCTTCTTCTTTCTTGTCTCTGTTCTGTTAGAAAGTATACAGACAAATTTGACGTTCTGCAATCTCACTTTGTCCTCTCCCCTCGAATGGCGGTCTTGTTACCTAGATTGACCATTTGCGATACCCTGCAGGCCCAATAAATGAGAGAAATTTGTTATTTTCAATAGACCAGGAGATATCTATCAACTGTATCCAATCATCCAATGGCCATCCAAACTTCATTTCTAAATAAATGGTAGTATATAACAAACACCTTGACCACACAAACATACAGAAAAGCTCATTAGCACGAATTTGATGCCACACCCAGTGGTCCTCGAAGATGTGCTCTACATTAGCGCAATGGAGTTCGTCTGGCAGTCAAAACAAAGGCACTTTTTGGACGGGGTAATAATTCAAAAATATCATAGGACAGGAGTCCTAGACCTCAAATAAATAAAGAATTACTATTACCAAAAAAAATAAATAAATAAAGAATTCTACAATGCAGGGAAGAAACAGAGCATCCTATGATAGGTCAAACGTGGCTCCTAGTTTGCTGAAGAGACGGGATGCATCCCACAGTCTGGATGAGCAGAACTCAGAAGCCAGCAGCACCACATACATCCACCTCTAATCGAAAGGGTGTGAGATCTACAAATTGTTTGTGAGATTATTTAACGGTTCAACCAACCACAAACACAATCCAGGTATCTTACATGATATAAGATTGTGTTAAGAAAAACTACTCAGCCACTTTAGACGCAAAAGCTCAAAAAAAGACAACAATATTAGCTGCGAAGAGCATCAAGTCATTTTAACACTCGAGTGAATACAGTGACTGAGATAACCATTTAATTATCAACTCGTCCAGCCTTACAGCGATTCAGAGAGAGAGAGAGAGTACCTAGGTTCTACTTGATTCTCAAAGGGTGAGAACGAAAGGCGGGGCATCCCTTCTTGGCCCAGCAACTGAGCGATAGACATAAACCTTGTCAGCATGGTTCTCATCACTCCCATCCTCCTTGATCACCTCCACGTTCAGTCTAGGCATCTCCCTCGCCAGCTGCCTACAACCATTCATCGTCACATGGCACGCTGACATCCAAAGTGACCTCATCGACTCGTACCTCTCCAGGCCTGTTAGAAGTGCTGCATTCCCAAATGGGCAATCCCTAATCTCAAGCTTCCTTAGTTTTGGGCATCCTCCCAGTACATATTGCATACCACGGTCACTGCTGCCTGCAAATGCCACTGACAGGGTCTCCAGATTCTTTGCATACTTCCCAATATACTCAAATGTTAAGTCAGTCAGCAGTCCCGAAACTGCAAGTCTCTGGAGTTTGGGGCATGTTTTCACCACCGCACCGAATGCCTCATCCACGGGCTCTTTCGTCAGGTAATCAGGCTCCCATGGATTCATGATGCAAAGACGGAAGTGGGTAAAATCAGGGCAGTTCTTCACGACCGTAGCCACTGCTGCATTGGTCATTCGCCTACAAAAATAGAGGACATAATGAAGCTTGGGGCAACCTCGAGAAACAGCTACAAAGCCCAATTCTGTCACTCCACCAAGGATGGCATCCAGTTCGAAGGGTTCTGCAGGGTAGACACGGAGCTCCTCAAGCAAGGGACAACTGAATCCTACGGCCTCAAGTCCTTTGTCTTCTACAGTATCCATCACCTATATGAAAAAGAATAAGGGATTTATAACTACACAGCTATTGCTACTCATCCAAAATATTACCATTTACCAGTTATTACTAAAAGAATAATGCAAGGCACTCTTTTGATGAATCTCCTGCTACTGTCATGGGAGCATTCAAAACTCAATAGAATCCCAAAGAAAACCACGATGTATTTCTACATTCTCCCCATGATTACCTTATCGCTTCTTTGATTCTTTAACGTAATATGGCTCTAAAGGATAACACAAATAAGGAAACCAGAAAATCCTATTCTAATCTAAGGTTCTAAAGAATCTGATCAGGAAGAAGCTCTGATAGAAGCTGAGATAGCAATCTCGGTAAAGAGTTTCTGAGCAATCAGTACTAATAATTTTTTACCAAAAAACGTCAAAAAATTCAACTGTGCAGAGGCTATTTTTTCCCATGCAGCTTGACAAATAACTCTGTTGAAAGCTGTTTCGAATTAATACTGTGGTTCACAGTGAAAATCAATTCTTCCCACTAAAATACGAGTTCATGGAACAGAATAATTGTTTGGAGTTTTTTATCTTCTATTCACATTTTTGAACCTTTCAGCGTTAACATCACTTTCTAGTTAGTCCTGCCTAATTGAAAGCTCATCGTGATGTAACCCTGAGGCAAAATCTTTAAACCCCGAAAGCAGTCTCCAACATGCATAGATATACCAATGTTTTAAAAAAGACCCCGAAGCCACAAAATGGAACAACTTTTCCCACCGGGTGGTGGTTCAGCAGTTCAAATGTCCAGGGCAAACAGATCAACCCATGATATCATAAATCAGATCATAAAGATATTAAATCAGATAAAAGGTCTGAGACTCTTTGAAGTTTTGAAAATGTGTGTATTGGTGTATCCAAGCATATACACCAACACCAATATGATATGGGCATATCATATCAATGCATTAACCCGGGGGAGGGGGGCTGAAAGTTGTAACAATTTAAGAGATGTAAACAAAGATATAGATCAAAATCTTTTTACCCAAAGGCGCCGAATAAGTGGACAATTAGGCAGGAGCTTAGCCAATTCAGCACCTTGTAATGCAGCATCACTTAGATTCAAGAAAGTCAGATTAGTACAGGCAGGACATATCAAGTGGAGGTTCAGGGAAGTTGCTTCAGATAAACCAGAGAGAGTGTGCAAGGTCTTGCAGTTGCTAAATGCATTTTCCAGATCTGAATACTGCTCAAGTGTGAGTTCTTGCGAGAAGGAGCCTGTCCCTAGCTCTGTCAATTGAGGAGATTGCACAAGCAACCTCTGTAACTGCTCCAAGGTCACATTCTTGTTTACTTTCAAAACCTTGAGTGACTTGCATCTGACAACTAGTCTTTCCAGAGCATCAAAATTGACTTTGCTATTCAGGCTTGCAAAATTCAGTACTTCTAATGATGTGAAGTTATCAGGAAAACAACTTAACCAGCTCCCACCAGCATCATCAATTCCGTTCTCCGATATGTCCAGCTCAGTCAAGTTCCTATAACAAAATTGCAAATCAAAAGCAAAATGAATCATTGGCTGCTACAGAGCTAAAAATAACAAACTAATGGGCAGCGGTACGAATAAATTGATATATGTCTTCATGGTTATCATAGAACTAGTTGACTTCAGGTGCATAAACAAATTCTTGTAATCAATTTAGAAATCAAAAGGTAATAACAAGTAATCAATAAAATATCTAACAATTTCTTGATTATCTTCCTATACATTTTCGTTTCCTTCATTAATCACAAGACTCAACTCTTTTATCGTGTATAAGAGGATCCTCCAAGTTACCAGTTCGAGAGACAAATAAATGTGAACTACTTTTCAGGTAAACAACCCATGGTCTGTCAATTACATTAGCGCAAATGGCCCAAAAGAAATGTTATGACATTCAAATGAAGTATCAAAATTAAAATTACAACAAGAACTTTATCAGCTAGGACACACTGAACAAAGGAACTGCCCCCCCCCCCATGTGTATATAACTGGACGTGTATGAGGCCGAATGACTGATAAATTGCTGCAGTCTCATGAATTGACATATTATATTCCCTCTACAAGGAAGCAGGATGTTTAGGTATGCATATTACCGCAAATACATGCACTGAACCCAATAAGAAAGCATATATGGTTCTCTCTAGAGGTAGGACAATAAAAGGAGAATAAGAAAGCTCCCAGTAAATCACATAAAACCATGAGTAGGGTGCCAATATGCAGAAAATTTAATTGAAAGCTGGGTCTACAAGGTCAGCTCAACATTCAGGAAGGATGTCAATATGCAGTAAATTTAAGAAGCTTAATAATATCATAAGATCATAGCATTTAATGTGGATCTTTAACATCCCCCTCCCCCACCCCCAAAAAAAAAGACATTTCAGAGGGCCTCTGAGAAAGGATCCAGAACCCATCTACAAGAGAGATGAAAATAGAGAACCTGGAAGATATCAATATCAATTTGTGTGAAGTTCAAAGGTCGCCTGATTACGTTCTCTATAGACCATGCCTGTTGATCATATTCCGTAATTCCAGATTACCCTATTCTTGTTATGAATCCAAGTCACCTGACTAGTAAAGCCAATATTTTGCAAGCTGTCATGCATTTAATATATCCAGAAAAGGACAAGTTCAACCCACTAATAGCTAAAGAAAAGGCCGTAAAGAGCCCTTAACACTAATTTCATTTAGCTAAGGAAGAATTAATTAAGGGTTTAAATCTAGACATTCTTATTGCAGTTCTTAATGAGGGAAGCTTCTGAAGTGATCAACCCTTTTACGTTAATAATAGAGTTAATGAGTATTTCTTAACCAGTGAAAATGGAGACATTTGTGCTGAAGATAATGTCAAGGATAAATCATTCAATACATGTCTTTATTAAATCATTCAAGAGGATTAAATCACGTTCAGGATCTGGATAGAAATCGAATTTCGCCTAACGAATCTATGTTCTGACACTTCCAACTCAAGTTCTTTTTTCGTCGAGAGGGATAGCTGGTCCAAGGTATATATTCAACAACTCACTAAGTAACTTTTGCACTGCAGACTAACAAGGGAGAGAACTTACTTGCAATGTGTTGCAATGACTTTAAAGCCATCGGTGCTGAATCCATCACAACTAACAAGGGAGAGAGCTTTGAAATTTGGAAATGACTTTGCGAGGAATTCCAAACTCTCATCAGTGACCGTCATTCTCTTGAGTCGCAGCTCCTCAAGAAAAGGATAAGCTGAGGCGAAGACCACTAACCAAGCATGGATATCAGCTCCCCAATTTGGTGGAACGAGGTTGAAATCTGAGAACCGAGGCTTCCCTTTAAGGGTAACGCTCCGGATATTGGGAAACCTCCGAACAAGGATTTCAGGAGAAACAGAGTAGCAGTTCCCTATGAACACATGTGTGCGACTCCATCTCTCCGCAGTGTACCAGTCCTTGCAAACCAGAGAAACAGAGCTCCTGTCCTTGTGAGACTTTACAAAACCAAGAACACATTCCAAAATCTCATCGGGGAATGGTAAAACCTGCCTCTTCTTCTCCTCCTCCGGCGAATCCTTTCTCCTCTTAGAATCCATGTCTACTCCAACCTTGATATCTAAAGCCTAAAACGCCACTCTATGACATACATATACACAGGAAATCCTTAAGAGTCTAAAATAAAGATCACTTTTTTACCCCTACTTGAAGGCTAATGATAACCAAATGCTGGATTATTAAAAACTAGCAGAGTTTCGTCATTGAAACTGCAAGTCCATGGTAAATCAAGAAAAACAAGAAAAAAAAAGATTTTCCTCGGAACAAAGAGGAAACTAAAAACTTGAGAAGATTTACGGAAACCCGTCATTTGAATAAACTCCAGCGTCTAAAGTTTAAATTAAATGAAAAATAAATTGCCTACTGTTGAAAAATCTAGAAGTAATACAATACCAATTAGCCAAGGAAAAAGCCCCTCAACCCAGAAAACAAATAGACTGAATACGGAACAAGCAGAGAAATTTGCAATTTAAATTCCACCCAGAAGACTTCAAAAAGGAGGAAAAAATTTGAACTAAGAAAATTTCAACCTCAAAATTCAATCCTCCACTTAAGCAGAGGGGAAAATAAAAAGAATCTCAAAACCCTACAAGCGAAAATAAAGATCCGCCATGGAGGTCGCTCTCAAGTCCCCCGACCCCCTCCCCCCACCCACAACACACAAACACGACCTAAAAGAGACACCTCAGGTAAAAGAGGGAGGGTGAAAGAGAGAGATCACAGAACACGGTCGAATGCTTACGCTGTGTTTGGTTGCAATGTAAATAAATTTTCACTAATGCAAAATTATGACGGTGCAAATGATTTGAGTGTAAATTTTAATTTATTTTTATTTTAAATTTTAGCTTATTTTATTTAATTGCAATATAAATAAAATAAATTAAAACATGAAACAGAATAAAGTAAAATTCAAAATAAAATTAAATAAAGAATTACATTTTTTACATTTACACTTTCATACATTTATACTGATGCAAATAAATTTACACTCTAACCAAACACAGCCTTCATATCTAATAGAGTATCAAGCATCAACCATTCAACCATTATCGAATGGAAGTATGTGACACTACCGATGAGCTGGTGAGAAGGCCACCCATTGCGTATTATAGCAAAAGCGGAAAAGAAAAAGACTTTATTACTAACAAACATGATCGGAAAGAAGAAAAAATGCAGCTCACTTGCCTAGCCTACGCCGTGTTGCCTTATGCGCACATCCATCCTTTTGTACTGCCACGTAGGCGTATTTAATACGTGGGACTGGAATTCATATCTGCGCCCGAGTACCCCACAGCACATACCAACCGTGTATTAGGAGCATATGTGAACAGGTGTAAATCTGACTGTGTGTGCGGCGCGTGGAAAGTGTGGGCCGTGCCATGCTAGCCTACGGGCTGAGTCAGGCTGGACCATGGGCCAAGTTGGGTCATGTTTCTTTCTCTTAGGATACTTTAGGGGTCAGCCTGACATAACCCGTAGCATGGGCCTGTGTTGTGTCATAGTTCAAGTCTTAGGCTAGGTTGGGTCGCAAACCGGACCAAGTCATATTTTTTAAAAATTAAAAAAATATATATAATGCAAATTTTGACATAAATTAAAAAAAATTTAAAAATTTATTTTATATGAATTTTGATGTACACAATTATTTATATATGCAATAATAAAGTCACATAATATAATAAAATTATATATATTAATATATATTATATAATTATTATATAATATAATATATATACACATTATATATTATATAATATATATGGGTCGTATTGGGTCGTGTTACATGCGGGCTATGGACAACACAACCTGCTCGGTCATGTCACACCGTATCGGCCCATGAACTTGAAACCCAAAGCCTAACTTGGCCCATATGATCGTGTCATGCCCAACACGGTCCATAGTACACCATACCCTAACACAACCTGATTTACACTTCTATGTGAACTCGTGGGACTATGGAAGGACTCCGAGATCTCTTGCCCACAAAAATTCTACCTACAAAATACTATCTTTGTGCATTGTAAACATCTACATCCCATTCATAATAACATTTAAGAGGACGATATATTCTCCATGTGTAGTTGGGATCTCATATGGGTTAATGTGGAAAGAAATAAAATCATTGTGGGTTGGAGATCCAAATTTGCAAGGAGTGCCTCTTCCAGAATGCGTATTACTCATTGAGAAGGAACCTACAAAATGTGTCCCATAAGTGTCCCATATCGAGTTTAGATCTATGCCCGACAACGTCATAGAGCAAATATCCGCTATGTATTGAAAACATCTCCCATGATAGTATTAAAAATGATGATGTCATTTTTGAGAGATGTTCCTAAATATACAATGAGAATATGCTGTGGGATGTTATAGGGCGTAGATCTTAATTCCTCGTGGCCCATCTCAGTCATGTATCGAAGACACTCCCATAGTAAATGAATTCACATGTCCCGCAGCATTTCTCAACCGTGTTTGAGAACATCTCCCACTGGTAACTCCGGGAGATGTGCATGTAGAGCGCAGATATATTCTCATGGGAAATATGGAAGATGTTGGATGAGATGTACATGGGGGGCGTCAGTCTGAATCCGAGAGACTGGAGTGAGTAAAGCAGTAGAAAAACAAAATCTTCCATTAATTTCGACTTTTCAGGACTTTCGTTCACATCCGCGCCCCACAATAAAGGCAGTTGCCACCTGAGACAGGATCTAGTCTTCACACATAGGCGCCTTACAGGCACATCCATAATAACGGAGGATGTGCTGTGAAGTCGATGTAAGCAATAGATCTGGTGTGAGGAGTAGATCTGGTGCCCAACCACATGGTCGATTGCTAAGCTCCTTGTTTTTAAAGATCACAACACAAGCAGGTAAAATTATATATCATCTCCTTCAACAATCAACACCCTGTATGTCTCCCCTCCAATTAATTAATTCATTTATTGGAATTGAATTGAATCACGAATAAGCCGGCGGCAAAGTACATTTCCGTCATTTGAATTTTGAAACCATAGTCACGTGAGAATCCACGTGCTCTCCTCAAGAGAGGGGAAATAGAACGAGGAAGGGAAGGACCCAGTACTCGCCCCACCAAATTATCCGGAATCTTAACAATTAACATTATTTAATCAATCTCTATCAGAAAACATCATTTAATCAATAATTAAAGAGGCTGATGAACCGTCCACATGGGTTTTTGTTAATAACAGCTGGCAGTTGATACTCCGGAATCCGTTCTATCAGGACACGCGTTTCGTTTAGGGATTTTTAGATTGCACTCCACCTCAGCCTTCTTTTATTTAAATTATTTTATTTTATATTTTGGTAGAATTTAAATTATTTTATAAATTATAAAAACCTCCCTTTACTTTTTTTCTTTTTTTTTTTACAATTATATGAACTTGGGCCGATCAAAAGTATCAATATCGCAATACGACACATTAGATATGGGATCGTATCCATGTTCATGTTTATGGGCACATGATATGCTACAACTCTTTGTGTATCTTGTCACTCATGCATATAACTACGATTAGATATATAAATTGGGTTGTGCTAGGTTGGTTTGGCACATCTCACTGCCCGAGTCAGTGCAAGTTAAGTCGTGTTATCACGGGGATAATTTTATAGCGGAAGAAACCCGTGCGGTGTCCAGGCCAAGGCAGGCCAAGACAAGCCTGATGTATGCTTAGGGTTAGGAGTTGCCCGATGAGATGGCTCCACTAAGGTCAGCAGCACTGGATCATGACTTCAAGTCGCATGGTCGGGGCTCTCGGCTGGCTCTGGCAGGTCCATGGGAGGTGCCACTTACGTACTAAAGGGGGAAGGCCATGAGGTGAGGCGACTTGGTGCCGATGTGAAGGGTCTTCTGTATGCCGATGATGTAGGGTCGGAACACACCCGTACGCTTTGGGCAACAGGATAACTCATTTAGCTTGGGCAAGGGGCTGGCGTGGTGAAGGGTCATACTTGAGCCAGGCCCACATGCCAAGCCTCCCTTGAGTGTCGGTAGCGCAGTGCCGGCCCATGCACTGTCCCCATGAGCATGTGTGCACTCATGAAGAACCCTAGTAGCCATGCTAGCCATTAACCAGGACCGCCCCGCAAGGGATGTTGGTCTAGGAGTGCCAAGGTTAGGCACCCAAGGAGGTTGACCGCCCCTCCTCAAAGAGTACGTTAAGCTTTTGGTGGTCTGCCTGAAGATGACATGAGACTTCCCAATAATCTTATTGGCAAAAATGACGGTGATATCCCTTAACGTAAACCTACCAAGCATAGGCAAGGCTAATATATATATATTTATATATATATCGGTCATGATAGGTTGTGTTGTGCTAGTCCGTGGACCTAAAACCCCAGACCTGGCACGACCCATATGATCATGCCATGCTTGGCACATCCTGTAGCCTATCATGTCGGGCCAGGTTGGGTCGACTCAAAATCGTGTCAAGCTACGAGCGACACGATCCGATTTACACCTCTAAGTACGATAGACCATTGTATTGGTATGTATCACACTATATTGGAGAATACAACTTGATACTTACCAATACGGAGGCATATTAGATTGTAATTTGACAAAATATTTAAACCTTGATTAAAGAATTAATTTTCCCCAAAAATTTAATAAAAACTAAAAATTATAAAATTAATTTTTTTTATTTATCTTAAATGATTTATATACTCTATTTCACATATAAATTATATGTTAAAAACAAAAACATATTTATTATTTGAAAAACAAAAACTTGGGGGTCAGCCTGGCACGACCCACATCCCAGGCCTGTGCGGGCCCGTATCGTGTCGTGTTGTGCAGCGGACCAGACTTATTAAAGAATGCATTTTTTTAATGTATCCAAGCATTTTTATATCTTTTATCTATATTTATGAATTTCCAAAATATATCCGTATGTAAGATATTTGATCCAAAACTCGATACTGATATTTTAATCCTTCTTTAAGGAAACAAAACCCTCCAGACACTTTTGAAAGGCATGTATAAGGGGCTATAAGTCTTTGATTAGGTATGAAGACCTTCGTATACAAATTGTTTGTAGCAGATGCGGACTAGGTTCTAACATGGCGTAAGCCATCGTGAATTGTGATAGAAATGAGAGTCGTTTTAAGAAAAATTCTTCTATTCTTTATCTAACGATTAAAGAGTTAAAAATATAAATTTTTGGTATATTTTCATTTTAAAATATCGCTTTATTATTTTTCAAAACTCAATAATCAATAATCTAATGAAGAAAATCACTGCATCGTTGTATGGTGAAATTCTAGATTATTAATCAAGATTTCTGTTACAAAATCAATGCATCTCCTCGTGGGAACCTACATAGTTTATTAGTATTTCTAGTACTAAGTATCCAGGTCTTGTGACATTATTTTAACAAAACTTTGTCTCTGTTAGACTGCCACCAGATGAAATAAAATAAATCCGGGTCATTCAAGTAATTTATTGGAATTGCTTTTTTATTTTCAAATCATATCCTCTTCCTCTATTGGATTAGGCTAATTAAGTTTAGCCATCAACTTCACACACTTTTATCCAATCAAATAGTATGCTTGTAATGCCAATTTTGCGATTTTTTTGGTCAATAATTTTAAGATTCGATTATAGTTAATTATGTGGTGGGTATAGCTGATCAGACGAAC